CTGGTTCCTCTGCCTTTTCTAAAACCAGCTTGAACATCTGGAAGTTCATGGTTCACGTATTGTTAAAGCCTGGCTTGGAGAATTTTGAGCATTACTTTACTAGCATGTGAGTTGAGTGCAATTGTGCGGTAGTTTGAGCATTCTTTGGGATTGGGATGAAAACTGACCTTTTCCAGTCCTGTGGCCACTGCTGAGTTTTCCAAATTTGCTGGCATATTGAGTGCAGTACTTTCACAGCATCATCTTTCAGGATTTGAAATAGCTCCACTGGAATTCCATCACCTCCACTAGTTTTGTTCATAGTGATGCTTTCTAAGGCCCACTTGACTTCACATTCCAGGATGTCTGGCTCTAGGTGAGTGATCACACCATTGTAATTGTCTGGGTCATGAAGATCTTTTTTGTACAGCTCTTATGTGTATTCTTGCCACTTCTTCTTAATATCTTCTGCTTCTGTTAGGTCCATACCATTTCTGTTCTTTATCGAACCCATCTTTGCATGAAATGTTCCCTTGGTATCTCTAATTTTCTTGAAGAGATCTCTAGTCTTTCCCATTCTGTTGTTTTCCTCTATTGCTTTGCACTGATCGCTGAGGAAGGCTTTCTTATCTCTCCTTGCTATTCTTTGGAACTCTGCATTCAGATGGGTGTATCTTTCCTTTTCTCCTTTGCTTTTCACTTCTCTTCTTTTCACAGCTATTTGTAAGTGGAAGTGAGAAATAGATTTAAGGGACTAGATCTGATAGACAAGAGTGCCTGATGAACTATGGACAGAGGTTCGTGACATTGTACAGGAGACAGGGATCAAGACCATCCCCATGGAAAAGAAATAAGCTATCATAATCTGTGATTTAAAAATGCCCTAAAGGATGGGCTATTAGCTATTTTGGGGAGAGGAAGAAGCAAATAGAACTAAGTCAGTCCCCACCCCAGGAATAGGTCTCAGGCAGCTTTTCAGGCTTGAACCTGCTGAGTGATGCTAGGTCTAGAAAATTCACCTCTGAGCCTCCAGGAGTCATCACTCAGCCTTCACTGTCATTGCTCACTGCAGTTATGTTGTACTGGTTTGCTGCCATGGTGTTCAGAACATTTGGGGGTTGGGGGACACACCTGGAGAGCATAGCATAGGAATGGCATTCCTCATAGGAATGGCAAGGATCACCTTATCTTGTGCAGCAGTGGTATCAGCAATAACTGAACATTCCCACGGGAAACTTTGGGGGCCTGGAAGCCTGTGCACCTCTTTGAGAACGTCTTGTCATGTCTCATGTGTAACAGCTTCTCTCCCTGAAATTTAAATCTTGAATGGAGAGACAAGGAAATTGTAAAAATATGATGGAGTCCATCCCATTCCCACCCTATTCTGCTTCCTACCCTCAGGAACTGCCTTGATTCTTAATACCTTTTTCTCCAGCCTCCATCCATTGGCAGGGCTCCAACAGCCTCCCTTCTGTGAGAAGTAGAGAGAGCTGGTTTCTGAATCTCATAATCCAACCCTTGGGGAAGGTGTAGATGGTATAAATATCCAGAAAAGAGGACGATGCCTGGAATACATTTGCTCCAAATGAGGTGGTACTGAAGTGTTTCCCCTTGCCCTCTGCAGCGGATATGCACTGATACATGCTCATGTACATGCTCTCTGGCCCAGATCCCTAGGGGCAGGATGAAAGTTGCTAGTGAAGCTTCAAGTTCAAGGATCCTTGCCTGCTAGAAGCATCTTCAGTCCTACTCTCACCTGTTCACATAGTGAGCAAGATAAGTGCCTCTCGGAAGTAGAACCACTTGCCAGGAGCAGTTCATGGTCTTTAGCTATCCCTGATGGAGTAAAATCTATCCTATACCATTGAGATGTGAATTCCTGGATTTGGAACAATTATTCTTGTCTGAAGTTCTTTCTACCCTCCTCAAGAGGCATCACAAAATCCATTTAACTGTGTTTAATTTAACATATGTGGAAGCAGATCTAGACATCCCAGGTCCAAACTCCCCAGGCCCTGGTAGAGAGCCCACAGCTTCCCTAATGAATGCTGGGTCAGAGTCCAGCCCATCCCCCTGAGAGCCCAGGGGTTCCCCAGGAGGCCCAGGAGTTCCCAAGGCATTCGGTATGACACTTCCCCTAGGGCACTGCATCAGTCATGGTGGGATAACTGATGAAAGAAACAACTCCCAAATCTCAGGGGCATAACACATTCATGTTCACCCTTCATATCACAGCGTAACCCAGGCCACTTGGAGTTGCAGAGATTTCCACTCTCTGCGGTCATTCAGAAGCCCACGCCCTTTCATCTTGTGGCTCCACACTTGTCTTGGTGCTTTGCTGTTGTTCAGTAGCTAAATTGCGTCCAATTATTTGAGACCCCACAGACTGCAGCATGCCAGACTTTCCTGTCCTTCACCATTTCCCGGAGCTTGCTCAAACTCACGTCCATCGAGTTGGTGATGCCATCCAACCATGTCATCCTCTGTTGCCCCCTTCTCCTCCTGCCTTCAATCTTTCCCAACATCAGGGTCTTTTCTAATGAGTTGGCTCTTCGTATCAGGTGGCCAAAGTATTGGAGTTTCAGCTTCTGCATCAGTCCTTCCAATGAATATTCAGGGTTGATTTCTTTTAGGATGAACTGGTTTGATCTCCTTGCAATCCAAGGGACTCTCAAGAGTCTTCTCCAACACCACAGTTCAAAAGCATCAATTCTTCAGCGCTCAGCTTTCTTTATAGTCCAACTCTCATATCCATACATGACTACTGGAAAAACCATAGCTTGACTATTTGGACCTTTGTTGGTGCTTGGAGTTCTCTCCATTTACCCAATGGATGGTGAATGAGAGAGTGTGTTGAGAACTGCACAGCTGTGGTGGTTCAGACAGTAAAGAAGCTGCCTGCAACGCAGGAGACCCAGGTTCTACCCCTGGTTTGGGAAGATCCCCTGGAGAAGGGAATGGCAACCCACTCTAGCGTTCCACTTGAGAACTCCACTCAAGAATTCTCTTGCCTGGAGAATTCCATGGACAGAGGAGCCTGGTGTGTTACAGTCCACGGGGTTGTGAAGAGTTAGAGACGACTGAGTGACTAACATAACATGCCAGAATCAATCTACATTGCTTTTGCCCACATTCCATTGGTCAGAACTCAGACACATGGTCTCACCTAACTGCAAGGGAGTCTAGGAAATGCAGTTTAGTGGAAAGCCCAGAAAGGAAAGGAATGGCAGTTGGTAAACAGAGGAATGCCACTGATCCTTAATGTTTGTGTTGTCATTGAGTAGGGTCTGCCTCCCCTGGGCTATGAGCTCCTTTGAAGCAGGAACTGAATTCATATTTGCCTCTCTGAGTCATGAGCTCCAGGCTTTAAACCCCAGCTGAGTGATCCAGAAGGTGGCATACCAGAGGTGGCTATCACAGCTTAGCACGCCACCCACTAGGCTGCCAGGAACATGGCAAAAACAGGCAGATTGTGAAAAAGACCACTAGATAGCAGACTTACAACCACAGCAGACCCTGAAGGCTTAGGGAAGAGATGGGAAGAGGGCCTAGAAGAACCCTAAGCCAAGGACACAACTTTCAGTGGCAGCAGAGAAGGGCACCAACCAAGCTTGGACAGTCGCACTTATCAACATAATACCCTTCACCACAAAAGAGGTCAGGTCTTAATATGCCTACTTTCCTGATTTGGGAATAGAGGGGTTTCCCCCACCCCAAGTCAGCCAGCCCTAGAACACAAGTCTCCTGCCTAAGGAACTATATGAAGCTATCAGGCTCTTTATGTTATTAATCCATCTAATCCATGACCATTCAAGGGCACTTCACTGTGGGGGCCTCTGGGGATCTGGGCCTCCTTCTCTGGACATGCTCTGTGCTGTGCCCTGCTCCATGTATCTGGATGACCACACACGCCTTGCAATGAGTTACATCCCCCAGGCATGTTTGAAGGGTCTGTCTCTAGTTTTCAGAACATTTTACTTCATGGGCCATATTTACAAATCAAGAAATTTTACCTAATGGTGAGTCCTGGATTTTCTTTTTAAAAAATCAAGAGGTCCAGCCACCATGGGTCCAACTCCCACAAGGAGACAGTCACTCAAAGCTGAATAACTGCTGTGCTGTTAACAGGACATATGTCTTCCATGTTCCCACAGTCTACACTTTCTGATTTTTCTTCTTTCTGCACTGTTACTCACTTAACCCTCTCCCTGGCTCTTGCAAGTATTTGAGTTTATAATCTCAACCCTGTGCGTTTATGAGCCTTCAATCACCTAGCCCCTCCATCATTCATTCAGTCCATCAGCAGGTGTTGGCTGAGTGGTTGTTCTAGGCCAGGTTTGTGCTGCACAGTGGGCATGAAAACAAGATATGTCCCTGCCCTTGGAGAACTCATAGTCTGGAGAGAAAGACACATACAGAAACACAGCATTGCAGGGAATTCCCAGGCGGCTCAATGCTTAGGACTTGGCACTTTCACCGATGGGGCCTGAGCTCAGTCCTTAGTTGGGAAACTAAGGTCCTATAAGCCTTGCAGCAAGCACAGCCAGAGGGGGGGAAAACAGCAACAACAATAACAACATTGTAACTGGGGGATGTTCTATGGATCCCAGATGTTTAAGTTTGTACCTCAGTGCCTAATGCACATCCTCTTGGGGACTCAGCAGTCCCCAACCAAGGGGATGGCGTCCTACTGTAAGCACTTGCAACTCCCCGCTTACCGTCCTCTGCATGGAGGCTGGAAAGACTGGAGAATAGTTGTCCCCAGGAACAGTATTCAAACCGCTAACCTGAGTTGGTGGATAATCACCTCAGCTCCCTCCCCCTCAGGCAGGATGACTGATTCTATGCTGCCTACCAGAAGTTCCCCAGGGGATAGTGCATTAACCTGCTCTTTAAGGCACTCTATACTTTCCCTTCCCTGTGCCACTTCCCTGCAGACACTTCCTCAGATCATTTCCCAGGGAAATCATACGCATTTGCACACTTACCTGCTTCTGGGGGAGCCTACTTCTGAGACGTGTGCCCATAAACAAATGGGGTGCATAGCCCTTCAGAATCCATTTACCTTGAAAGGAAATTGACTGCCATTTAGCCTGGACTGGTCAGCAGATAAGCCCAAACAACTCATTAGCCTTCCTTTAAAACTAATCGTTGTAGTAATCAGGCTAAAAAAAAATAAGGAACTCTAGTAAGTATCAATATTTTAAACATACAAATATAAAAGAATAAATTAAATAATAAACAGTAATTAAAATGCTGCATAAGCAGGTGGTTGGGCCTGCTGGTTTTTATCTTTTTGTGATTTTGTTACACATTAAATCAGCTCGTTCATTTCCTCTGTAGAGAAACCTGCAGCTGCTGTGACCTTCCTTTCCACTACCCCCTTCACGGGCTCCTTTTGAAAGAAGGAAGGCCTGTGAAAATCATGGAGGTGATCAGGAGGGACTGATGTTTGTGAATAATTCCGGAAACTTTCTGTGCGTTATTTCATCAGTTCCTCTCAATGGCCCATGAGGGAGACGAGCTCATCTCCACTCTCCAGGTGCAGCAGGGACTCTGGAGTGTCGGGAGACCTGCCTGGGACCACAAGACCCAAACCCACGTGACTCAAAACCCACCCTATGGCCTTCTCCTCCAGCTGTGTGTGTGTTGACTGGGATGAGGAGGGAGGGAAGAACAGTAGATACATCCTGAGGTTAGGTGCTGAGCTGAGGTGCTGGCAATGGCCATTCAACCTGCAGGTCACTGCTTCCTTCTGGTCTGGAAAGATTCCAGAGAAGAACAAAGGCAGAGAGTCGGTGTGGGATAGAAGGACCAGAATCTGGAACAGAAGATGAAAATGGAAATCCTTTATCCTTCCTCCCCTCTCTCAGTCCCTTCTTCCTTCCCTTTCTTTCTTTTTTTCTTTTTTTCCAATCATGAGCAAGGGCTCAAGGGAGCCCAGAAACATAAGACTCTGATAAAGGCTCATGCACTAATGGTTTGGACAGATAGAGAAAACAAAATCTCTTTGTGTCATCTGATTACATGGTCGTAGGTAGGTAAGGCTAAAAATATAGTGCCTCCCCGCTTCTTGGGCGATACCAGGACTAGGTGGCAACAACACAGGGCCTGGCACTAAGTAACGGCTCAGGAATGGCTCATTGCTCTCTCCTCACCCTTTCCCAGTTCTGGCAAATAAGAGGTTCACCAGCTTGATTTTTCAATACTAATGTCTGCCTTCCAGCATCCCATACTGCCTGCTTCCATCAAGAAGCTAAACCAATATTTCCAACTCATCAACACTTAAACACGAGGCCAATTTGCCCAATACATTGTCTATTTATTTTCCAGGCTGCAATCTTTATGATGCCTATTCCTGAGGCAGTTAATTTGCTCTTGAATACATATCTTTGTGTATTGGTTACCCATTTCATTAGCGGCGATATTGAGACCGGCTGGGACGTGTGGAGGGTTTTTCACTGAGTGAAAGAAGGTTTTTAATAAGCCCCATCATTGCTGGCTTTATGGTTCCATTTGATGAGCGACAAATGTATTCATTTGGCAGCTGCATTCCTTAATCAGGTATTCACTGGGTAACAGCACATATAAATATGGAGAAACACAGAATTTAGGGAGCTGAGTGCAGTCATTTTCCACAGGGATTGGAGCATTGTCTGTATTCACCATCAGTTTTCAAGCAAGAGCCTCTCCTTGCTGGATTTGAAATTCTGTACATAAGCATGCGGGTCCCATCTATGACTCACTGCCCTCTCTCAAGAGCATCCTCCTCCACCAAGGGGCCAGACCCTCCAGAGCGCTCTTGTCCCCTCTTCTACATCAAACAAGTCTCCAGCCACTTGGTTCCTTTGATCTATGGTACTTTTAAACCTTTCCGGTGACTCCCACTCCATTTGCCCTCAAAATTCCCCTAGAGGAAAAAATGACTAAAGTATATTAGCTCTACTTTCAACAACTTTATTGAGGTATAACTGAAAAATAAAAATTGTGTATATGTATACCTTACATACACAATTTTTCTATATATGTATACCTTACATATACACAATTTTTATTTGTCAGTGTATATGTAAGGTATACATATGGGGGCTTTCCTCATAGCTCAGTTTGTAAAGAATCTGCCTGCAATGCAAGAGACGCCAGTTCAATTCCTGGGTTGGGAAGATCCACTGGAGAAGGGATAGGCTACCCACTCCAGTATTCTATGGTTTCCCTTGTGGCTCAGCTGGTAAAGAATCCACCTGCAATTCCGGAAACCTGGGTTTGATCCCTGGGTTGGGAAGATCCCCTGGAGAAGGGAAAGGCTACCCACTCCAGTATTCTAGCCTGGAGAATTCCATGGACTATACAGTTCATGGGGTCGCAAAGAGTCAGACACAACTGAGCGACTTTCACTTCCACTAACGTATACGTATAGATAAACATATAAGTTGCACAAGATTCACCAAACTCGAGCTAATTAATATCTCCATTGTCTCACAAAGTTACCATTTTTTTCTTTTTTGGCCTGACTTGAACACTTAATATCTGCCCTCTTAACAATATGTACCCTCAGGTGTACAATACACTATTGTTAACTACAGTCATATTGCTGTACATTAAATTTCCAGAATCTAATCATCTTGCATAAATGAAACTTCATACCCTTTCACCAACAACTCCCCATTTCCCCCTCCGCTTGCCCTTGGCAACCACCATACCACTCGTTGCTTCTGAGTTTGGCTATTTTAGATTACACATGTAAGTGAAATTGTTACCAAAACCCAAGTCCTTGTGTTCGATGCACAGTGAGGCCAAACAATACCAAAGCATCAGAATCAGGAGCAAAGAAAGGTTTACTGGCAGGGCCATGCAAGGAGATAGGTGGCTCATGCCTTAAAAACCCCAGACTCCCTGGAAGCTCTTAGCAAAGCCCTTTTCTACGAACAATGAGGGAGGGGCATGAGTAGTTGTTGCAAACTTCTTGGTGTCAGAGCCTTTGTTCTCGAGGTCAGGTCATAGAGCCGAGTCTTTCCTGCAAACCTCAACCAAAACCAATGTTATTCTCTGTTCTCACAAGGGCAAGTTCTCAAGGCACAACTTTCCTCCTTCGAGGTCCTGGTCCTGGCAAAGAGGAGGCAGATCTTAGTTGGTGGCTCCTTTGGGGCCAGGTCCCCAGACCCAGTTGTCATTGCTGAAGAAGCCAGGCACCCAGAACCCAGGCTCTCAGGGCACCCAACCGGCAGGGGCAGGTCCCGCAGACTGTGTCCCATGCAGACAGCCACTGCCATTAAGTTTCAGAGGCAGGGTTGGAGAGAGGTTCATCTCAGCCTCAAGGACTGGGCCTGGCCAGTGGGTGGTCTTGGTGAGGGCTCTGGAGCCCCCAGACTGTTCACTGGGACCCCCAGCTCATCTGCTTGTCCAAAGCTGGGAGAAGGCCGGGATCTACCTCTTACTCACTCTCTGCTGGACGCCCACCATTCTAACAACGTTGGCTGAACGGACCCACTAATGGTTGCTCACTGACAGCCGGTCACCTGTGGGAGGGGCCCACTGTGGCGCCAGCCAATGGCTGAGCAGGACCACTAACGGTTGCTCACTGACAGCCGGTCACCTGTGGGAGGGGCCCACTGTGGCGCCAGCCAATGGCTGAGCAGGACCACTAATAGTTGCTCATTGACTGCTGGTCACTTGAGGGAGGGGCCCACTGTGGCGCCAGCCAATGGCTGAGCAGGACCACTAACGGTTGCTCACTGACTGCTGGTCACTTGTGGGAGGGGCCCACTGTGGCGCCAGCCAGTGGCTAAGCAGGACGACTAATGGTCCCGGGTTAACATTGCCTGGGAACAGGATGTGGGAGGTGGCGTGGAGTGCGGGCGGGGGGTAATTGTGCACAGCAACAGCCACTTGCTGAAGGCTTCGCTCTGCCGCACCCTATTCCAAAATCATACAGTATTTCTCTTTTTCTCTCCAGCTTATGTCACCTAGCATAGTGTCCTCCAAGTTGAGCCTTGTGTCATAAATGATAGGACTTCCTCCTTTTTTATAGCTGAGTGATATTCCATGCCCTGTCTTCTTTATCCATTCATCTTTCCACAAACATTTAGGTTGCTTCCATGTCTTGGCTACTGTGAATAATAAAGCAATGAATCTGGGAGTGCAGATGTGTCTTCAAGATCCTGATTCCAGCTCCTTTGGAAACAGACTCAGAAGTAGGATTGCTGAATCTTATGATAGTTCTATTTTTAATTTTTACAAAAAAACTTTGTAGAAACTTCATACTGTTTTCCGTAGTGGCTACACTCACTCACATCCCCACCAACAATAAGCAAGGCTTCCCTTTTCCCCCCACGCTTACCAACGCTTGTTATTTCTTGTCTTTTTTGATAATAGCTATTCAAATAGACATTTCTAGGAATTTCTGTTGTTTTCCTTGGACCTGGGACAGAAGCCATTCCCCTGTAGATAGTGAGATTGGGTTTCTCAGGAGGTTGAAGACTAGAATGCATGTGTGGTGTGTGTATGTGTGTATGTTAAGTGCCCCCATTGGTAAGATTAGAATAATATGTCTAGCAAGACTGTCATGGCAGGAACCATGTTTGTTTACTGCTGTATCCATGGAACCCAGCGCAGTGTCTGGCATATCAGGATTCTTAGCATATGTTAGGAAAGGATTAATCAATCAAGGGCCTGTTCTCTGTTCAGCTACTTCTAGGCTGTAAGTGGAAACTCCCAGATACGCCAACAGAAGGTAGCTTAACAATAAGCAGAAAACCTCATCCCCCTACTCAGGCCAATAGTGGCCTTTCCTAGACAAACCTCCATGCTGAGAACCCCGAGGGAAAACAGGGGCAAAGAAAGAAGAATGGCAAAGGAGAAAGTGAGCAGATGGGGAAACCTACCCCAGCTGTTGGCATCCATGAACAAGGAAAACCAATCTCGGTTTGGAAAGGATAATGTTTGTAAGGACTTGGCCAGGATTATAATGAAAAGAGGAAATGCACTAAATGTTGTGGAAATAACACACATTTTTTTTCCCCTTTCGTATCTGGAACTGCCTGAACCTCTCATTTTAGTCATGGTGTCAAAACAGACCCTGGATCAGAAAGAGGCAGGCCAGGACCTCTAATGTCAATACATAGGCAGCTGAGAAGTTCAAGGCCATGGCCACAGAAACACGGTGGG